CTCTTCACTCTCCTTTTTTCTTCCTCCAACGTCCCAAATCTAAACAAAATGTTAAAGGGGGAAAACTCAGAAGAGTCAAACAAAACCCTTGCTCTCTTTTTGGTAAAAAGTAAAAAAGACCACTTTTCCAAACTCTCTCAAAATAAAATTAAAAAAAAAAAAAGACAACATGCTTCCTTTATTTTTTATTTTTTATCAAAAATTATTTTTATTAAAATTAATTTTTTAAGTTTTTTAATTATTATTTAATTTTTTAAAAATTAAATTATTATAGTTAATTTGCAAGCAATAGTTAAATGCTAGTATTAGCTATGATCTTAAATATTTTTATAACTATTAATTTTATTATAAATCTATAATTGTTACAATTATTTTGATATTGTAGCAAAATTAAAAATTAGCTATAGAATTTACCTATAGCTAAAACTTTGTAGTTAGAAAATCAAATATTGCTACCAAAACTAGAAATTAAAGTTAAAATTGTAAATTAGTTTCGAGAATTTATTACTTATAACTATCAAAATGATAATCAGCTACAGGTTAAATTTGTTGTAGCTATTGTTGTCTATTAACTACATATTTATTTCTTGTAACTTAAATTCATAGCTCTAAATACAAAATGTAGCAGTATAATCAGTAAACATTCAACTTCTTTTGGTCATTTCTAATATGATTAATTGTCATATTATAGATTGTTTGGTTGGGCCTCAGCTAGGAGGAGGCATTGAATTCTTCTCACTTATCCGGCTTTTCGTGGGTCCTAGAGTTACTTCCATGGTCTTGAATCCAATGAGAAACATGACCAATAGCTGTAAGCTTGGCGGCCTTATGTCTTGTGTATAAATTATGATGTATAATATAGTTCAAAAAGTCGGCAATGTAATTTATGTTATTTTCTTAATTTCTTAGTAAATTTGCATCTGGTATTTATTGTATATTTTGAAATATAAAAATTAAAATTACTCTTCAATATATAATCAAATTTAAAAAATAAATATTAACATGAAACCTGTAACACGTCATCAAATTCATATTGACTGGGGATCTCGCTGACATGATACCGTCATATCGCCTTCACGCGAAGAATTTTTTGTCTTGATGACATTGCACTCGCACAGCAATCCAAATGCAGCGCAACCTAACTACAAGTCATAAAAAAAAATAAACTTCATCTCACTAGCTTTCTTGCTCTGCCTTCTCTCTTGAATTCATGTCTGATACAGCAAACCAAATTCCTAATCCCCAAGAGGCCGATCTCTTAATTCGCTCCGTTAAACGCATTAAAGGGGATGGTAACCCCCCTATTGCTGAAGAATATCAACTATATGAAGCCCCACCAAAGCAACTATCATATAGAGACATGGTCTCTTGTTTAGAACCTGCTGCAATCCTCTGTGATAGCTCAAATAGAGAGGAAATTCTAGACGAAGACTCAGATTATGAAGATGATGGGTCTATCCCTACTATACTCATCTCGAAAGAAGAAAAGAGAAGGATTCGAATGCCATGGCTCAACTCCATAATTATAAAAGCCTTTGGCACAGAAAAAGCTGGCTATAACTTCATCCTTCCCAGGATCAAAGCCCAGTGGAAACCGAGAGGCAAAATGGATTGCGTTGATTTGGGTTTAGACTTCTTTCTTATTCGTTTCCATGAGAAGGAAGATCTGAACCGTGTTCTTCATGGGGGACCTTGGTTTGTCGGTCCCCATTTTCTCACAATTAGAAAGTGGGAGCCTTCATTTGATCCAGCAAAAGCCACCTTCACGACCACAGCTATATGGGTTAGACTCCCGCGCCTTCCTATTGAATACTACGATGTACAAATTCTTGAGCGTATTGGCAATATGTTGGGTACTCCGCTTCGGCTAGATGCTCATACTGCCCACCAATCAAGAGGTCAATATGCAAGAATCTGTGTACAAGTCGATCTTGATGAACCTTTGGTACCTTTTGTACGTATTGGCAAACATATCCAAAAGGTTCTTTATGAGGGACCTGCTGCCTTATGCTACTCCTGTGGGTGTGTGGGACATAAAGAGGATAATTGCCCTCTCAAAGTCCCACAGCCTATGGTTGTTTCTAATGAACATAATATTGAAGCTCAAACTTCACAAGCTTCAGTTGATGGAAACTGTAATGAGCCACCGGAGAACCAAGGGTTTGGACCATGGATGCTGGTGGAGAGGCGAAAGAACAAGAAAAAGGTAAACAATAATCACTTGAGTCACTCAGCGAGTCGACTCACTGGGACAAGAAATGGGTCACGAGTTCCAAACTCAAAAGGGAACGTTATTTCTGACAATGCTATTAATGCAGCGACCGTTAACTCCAACGGGTCAAATGCAGCCATTCAACTTTCTAATTCAAATTCTAAAGCTCATAATTCGAGCTCTTCTCCTTTGGCCCAAGATGGGGATGTCAACAACACACCAGCCCATCGAAATACCGGCCAGACCAATCAGGTAACTATGGGTTCAATTATCACTTCACCTAGCTCTAATGGACCCAATATTTCTTTGCAGGTTCACCCAAAGACTATAGCTGATAAAGCTACTGTTACAGATAAGATTTCATTGTCACCATTTGTGGCACGTGGAAAGGCTTCCTCCTTTAAAAAATCTGGTTCCCAACCAAAAATCTCACAAAATGTCCGGAATCATTCTCTCACGAAATCAACCCCCTCCACCGGAACTTTGGATCATGGATCCAATCACCTTCACCAAGCTAAGTCACTTGTGGGATGTACTGCTAATCAACAGGAACAATCAAGCAATCCCAATAGAGAAGGCGTTGTCACTAGTCCTCAACAAGCATCCGGAGTCGATCGAGGGATGGACATTGGAAATGATCCAGAACTGCTGGTTGAATCCCATTCTTACAATGAAAGGAGTAGATCCCACTCCTTTTCTTCCCCCACCAATGGAAGGGATTCCTCTACCTCTGGAACACCTGTCTCCAGACTCATGCATCCTTCGGAAGGCTGTCTGGTCATCACTGGCGGAGATAGTGAGATGGGACGATTGGTCAGAGCCGATAGCTCCCAAGCGATTCACGTTGCTGGTAGAACAACCTTACCTTTGTCTATTCAGGATGATAGGATGCATGAAGACAGTGCATCTGGTGGTCACGAAGGAGGAAGCGCAGAACTCTATGCTCCAGTACCAGCAGATTGTGCTGCCTTACTACTTCCCAGGAGTCAACATGATGGTTCTGAGCAAGGAAGGTCAGCCGAAGTGGCTCCAGGATGTTGCCAGGTGGGTTATGACCACCTTCAGTAGACGTACCTGGACCATGAAGATCATGTCATGGAACTGCCGCGGGGCGGCTAATCAAGAGTTTAAGCGAAATGCGATGGATATCATTAATCAGCATAATCCAGGTATCCTTGTTATTATGGAAACGAAGTTGGCAGGAGAAAGAGCAAAAAAAGCTGCTGAAGCTCTGAGATTTCCTAAAAAGGTCATAGTCGACTCAGATGGCTTTGCTGGTGGTATTTGGCTATTGTGGGATGACACGAAGTACACTATAGACATTCTTAATGTAGGACCGCAAGCCATCCACGCCAGTGTCCAGGTAAAATCCCATCCTTCTTTTTCTAATTTTCATTGGTTTTTATCTATTGTCTATGGTCGTCCTCAGTTTGAGATTAGGTCTCTCCTTTGGGAAAACTTAAAACAATTTTCCCAATCTATCAATGGTCCATGGGTAGTTATTGGGGACTTTAATGATGTTACTGCTCAAAATGAAAAATTTGGTGGCAATCCTGTCCCCCAATATCGTATTCGTGCCTACACTGATTGCATGAATTCCTGTGACTTACTGGATATTGGTTTTATTGGTCCGAAATTTACTTGGGTCAATAAAAGAGACAATCATCAGCTCATTAGAGAGAGGCTTGATAGAGCCTGGGCTAATCCCGCTTGGAAGATTCTCTTTCCCGAGGCTACTCTGATTCATCTTCCTCGTGTTTATTCTGATCATTGCCCTATATTACTTTCTCTTGAGCAAACTTTTCCCTGCTCAAACAAGAAGCCTTTTAGACTTGAGAAATTTTGGCTTGAACATGAGTCTTTTAAGGATCTTGTAGCCTCAAACTGGACTTCTCCTAATCTATCTATCTCCGATTGCTCCATTACTTTTCAAAACAATGTTAAGCTTTGGAGTAGAGTTACTTTTGATAACCTTCATAAAAAAAAGAAGAATCTCATTGCGCGTCTAGGAGGTATTCAACAAGCCCTTCAATCCAAGAACAGTTCCTTTCTCATAGATTTGGAAAAAACTCTTTCTAAAGAATATCAAGATATTCTCAAGTATGAGGAAGACATGTGGTTCATGAAATCTCGGATCCAATGGATCCAGAATGGTGACAGAAATACAAAATTTTTTCATGTGTCTGCTTTGAAACGCAGATCGTATAATCGTATTTTGGGTCTCAAAGATGATACCGGTTCTTGGATCACTGATGCTACTGCCATTGAAGGTATTATTACCTCCTATTTTAAGAGTCTTTACAAGACTTCCCTACTTAAATCCTCCCATGACTCTTATAGTAGTGTTCAAAGTGCCCCCTTTATTGATCCTTCTTATTGGCATGGATTGATTGACCTTCCTTCAGAGTTTGAGATTAAACATGCTCTTTTTTCTATGAAGCCTTTTAAGGCACCTGGTCCTGATGGACTACATGCAGCTTTTTTTCAAAAATATTGGCTTATTCTTAAGGAAAAAATTTGTTTGGAGATTAGGGATATCTTTAACTCTGGCTTTATACCTGAGTCTTGGAGCGCTAGTTTGATTACTCTCATCCCTAAAAACAATAAGCCTGACTCTGTTTCTCATTTTAGACCTATTGGCCTTTGCAATACCTCTTATAAGATTGTCACAAAAATTATTGTCTTCCGCCTTAAGAATCTTATTGGAGATTTGATCTCTCCAATGCAATCCAGCTTTATTCCTGGGCGTAATGGCATTGACAATGTCACCCTTCTCCGGGATTTTGCCTTTTCCTTTAAAAAAAGAAAAGGGAGACAGGGTGACATGATTATTAAGTTGGACTTGGAGAAGGCTTATGATCGCCTTGAGTGGAGTTCCATTAGGGAAACTCTTATATTCTTCAATTTTCCTCCTTTGTTGATCAAGCTTATCATGTCTTGTGTTTCTTCGGCTTCCTTCTCTTGCGTTATTAATGGAAGTGTTACAGATTCCTTTAAACCTTCTCGAGGTTTAAGGCAAGGGGACCCTCTCTCACCTTATCTGTTTATACTTTGTTTGGAATATCTCTCTTTAAAGCTTCAGCACAGTACTGATGTTGGCATTTGGAGAGGCTCTAAATTGGGCAAATCTGGTCCCTATTTCTCTCATATATTTTTTGCAGATGATCTTATTCTTATTGGCAAAGCTACAATGTCCAATTCTTTATTTCTCAAGGGATTACTTGATTTCTTTTGTACTCGCTCAGGTCAGAACATCAATCAAGAGAAATCTAAAATCCTTTTCTCTGCAAATGTTAATCCTGATATCAGGCTTGCTATATGTCATACTCTTGGTTATATGGAAACTCCCTCCTTGGGAAAATATCTTGGCTTCCCTATTACCTCTAAGAGGATAAAAAAATCTGACTGTAATTTTATTGTTGACAAGGTCAGATCTAAACTTGCAGGGTGGAAAGCAAATATGCTCTCACTTGCTGGAAGAGTTACTTTGGCCACATCTGTCCTGTCTTCAATTCCTAATTACTATATGCAGGGTATGTTTTTTCCTGCATCTATTCATAAGGAGCTTGATACCATCACTCGAAATTTCATTTGGGGTTCTACTTCAACCAAGAGGAAAGCCAATCTTATTTCTTGGGATAGGATTACTCAACCTAGGAAAGCTGGGGGTATTGGCATTAGAGCTAGCAGTGAAGTAAACCAAGCTGCCATGGCCAAACTTCACTGGAGGATGATTACTGAAGTTCAAAAACCTTGGGCCAAAGCATTCATATCCAAATATAAGATTGACCCTCCCTACCATAATTTTTCTCGATCATCCTCCCCCATCTGCAAAGACATCTCTAAAGGGAAAGATATTGTTGAAAAAGGCAACAGCTGGGTGCCACGTGATGGCTCCAAAATTAATTTCTGGCAGGATAAATGGATTCTAAAGGAATCTCTTTGTTCTGTTTTTTATGGCCCTTTTAAACCACATGATTTAGACATTACTGTGAAGGATCTTCTTTTTCCTGATGGTAAATGGAATTTTGATGCTGTTGCTTATCCTTTACCTCAGGACATCATCCAAAAAATTGTGGCCATTGCTTTTCAGAGGCATAGTGCTGAGCAGGACTCCTTTAGGTGGAATTCTTCGGCCAATGGCAAATTTTCCATGAAATCTGCATACTTTATGGCAAAAAATATTCATTGGACGCAGATGGAGGATTGGTCTTGGATCTGGAATATTTGTACCATTCCCAAAATTAAATACTTTCTATGGCTTGTTATGCATGGTAGAATCCTCACCTTTGATACTCTTGCTCAATGGGGTGTGGTTTCTGATAATAGATGCCCTAGATGTAGAAATGGTCCTGAAACTCTTACTCATATTTTTAGGGAATGTCAGTATGCTGCACTCTTTTGGAACTCTATTATTCCTCAATCCATTTCAACATACAATCAAAATCTTGATTTCAAAAGCTGGATTAAGGTCAATGTCGGTGTACATAATTCACCTCCATCATCTTCCACTTGGCCTACTGTTTTTTCATATGCTGTTTGGTCCATCTGGTATTCTAGGAATCAGCTCGTGCATGATAACAAACATATCTCTATTTTCGATCTGAAATGTTCTACGCTGGTTAGAGCACAGGAATGCATTAGACTTCAACCTGCTCTTACTACCTCTCCACCTAAAACCATTGTTTCTGTGGGCTGGTCACCTCCCTCTCCAGGTTTTGCTAAATTAAATACTGATGGTTCTGCCCTTACTAATCCTGGTATGGCTGGGGCAGGAGGCTTGCTACGTGACCACCTTGGCAGATGGATGGTTGGCTTCTCACGAAGCATTGGATGGACCACAAGTATTGCTGCAGAATTATGGGCTATTAGAGATGGCTTGGAAATTGCTGCTGGGAGAGGAATCTCTAAAATTATTGTGGAAACTGACTCAAAAGTTGCTATTTTACTTATTGAGTCTACTGATACTACTTTGCACTCACTTGGAACTCTTATTTCTGATTGCAGATTGCTTCTACGCCTCTTTACGGATGCTAGGATCTCCCACATATATAGGGAAGCTAATGCGGCTGCTGATTTTCTTGCTAAACTGGGATCTACTAGTGCTATTGATTTTGTCGTGTATGAGGAAAGTCCGCCTGGGCTTTCTTCCATTTTGTATCATGACTTAATTGGGACTTCCTTCCCAAGAACGATTGTAGCCAGCTAATTATCAATATATTTCCTATTTCTACCAAAAAAAAAAATT